TTAAAAAATTATTTTGTTATTTATTAATATATATTATAATATGTATATATATTTCTACTATTTGAATTTGCCTGACTTCTGTAGTAATTTTAATTGATTCCGCTATCTTATAAAAAGCATGAAGTGACATGAATACCTGCCATAATTTCTAGGGACTCCAGACAGCGTGCCGCGAGTGTCACCATCTCGTGTTCCATGATGAAATCAAATACCTCGTGTTAATGTGCCCGCGAACGGCACTTGCCAAATTTTCGAGGTTAGCGTTCACGCACGAGCCTAATCTGTACGAACACCGAGAGCGTTCGCACTATATTTCGATCTAAGAACGCCGATGTAAAAGTTTGCAACATTTTCATGGTCATGGCGGTGCGCGTGCAATTCGAGAACAACAATGAGATCGGCGTCTTCTCAAAGTTGACGAATTCCTACTGTTTGGTTGCGATCGGCGGCTCCGAAAACTTTTATAGGTACGTATGACGTCACTTATAATGCAATCGTACGAAATCTGCATTGGCAATTAATCTTTTAATTAATTAATTTTGTTTGTTAATAAAAGCGACAATATTCAGGATGATATTATTAGAATATGCCTATTTTTACATTATAACCTCAAAAATGAATCAAAATAGTATATAATTATACATTATTAAACAAGATAAAATGGAATGATAATAATTATAGTACATATACACTATAATATACTTCAGAATTACACTATAATATGTAATATAAAATATAAACGTTACTATCATTTTGCAGTAATCTATCATTTGATTTTGATATGATTGGACTGTAATTGTTATAATTCTATGATTCATTATTGATATAATTACAGCGTATTTGAGGCAGAATTAGCTGAGACAATTCCAGTTATTCACGCATCAGTAGCAGGATGTCGTATCATAGGTCGACTGTGTGTTGGTAAATATATTAAAATAACTTTTATCGAAGTGACAATAAGTTAACAGTCTTTAATTGAATAATGAATATTAGGATACATTCTGAAATATATTGATAATATTGAAAAGCTATATGTAACATGAACTTTGATTTTTATTACTGTTATTGTAGAACTTACCAATAGTATGGCATAAAAACAAATCGAAGCATCCGATAATACATAAAAAACTTTCTTGAAAATCTTAAAATTTTTTTTAGTCATTGTCTACTTATTATCTAATAAATATATATACATAAAAATTATATATTATCTAAATAATTAGGTAACATGTAACAATTAAAATAGTATACAATTAAAAAAAAATTTCTTATGTATAGTTTGTTGCTATTCTTGCCAATTTAAATACTTTTTATTTATAATATTTTTAACATCAACGTAGTGAAAGATGCCAACTCTGCATGCACTTATTTTTTCTTAGAAAAAAGTCAATCTCGTAAAAAAATCGAATGTTTTTAAAAGTCATAATTTTTTCTTACCTATATGTTATCTGTGTGTATATATATACATATTGCTCACAAATATTTATCTTTATAATATAGCGAACAAGAATGGATTATTAGTACCAAATACAACAACAGATACAGAATTACAACACATTCGGAATTCTTTACCAGATAATGTAAAGGTACAGAGAGTGGAAGAGAGACTCTCTGCTCTAGGCAATGTTATAGCATGTAATGATTATGTTGCCTTAGTTCATCCAGATCTGGATAAGGTAAATTTTTTATGTATCTCCTATTGGATTAAGAAATTTGTACAGAAGTATACTTTAATGGCTCTAATTTTGTATTTTGTATTTTTTTTTAATTGAAGGAAACTGAAGAAATTTTAGCTGATACTCTGAATGTGGAAGTATTTAGACAAACTATTGCAAGTAATGTTCTTGTTGGTTCGTATTCCATTTTATCCAACCAAGGTGGTTTGGTGCATCCGAATATGCCTATTCAAGAGCAAGACGAGTTGTCTTCTCTTCTGCAAGTGCCACTTGCGGTAAGTCAAACAAAGATTCTGTGATTTTCTATTTTTGTAAACAATAATTGTATTTTAGACCGGAACAGTGAACAGGGGCAGCAACGTAATCGCTGCCGGTATGGTCGTAAATGATTGGGCTGCTTTTTGTGGCATGGACACAACTTCGACAGAAATCGCTCGTATCGAGAGCGTTTTCAAGCTTAACGAAGCTAATCCCGCTCCTATTACATCGAGTATGCGTGCACCTTTTATAGAAAGGTAAGACTAAAAAGAAAACAGATATAGCATATGATTATATTAACAATTCCTTGTATAACAAGAATTCTTATTGTTTTAGTATGTCGGACTTATAAAAGAAAGGACCTCTTTAAAATACTGGAAAAAGTATGTTGGACTATACATTATCTATGTGTACATAAAATATTTATGGCTTTATCAGCACAACATTATTCTTTCGTCAACATATCTATGACAAACACTTCTTCGTGATTCCGACATAAGATAATACGTGTAATAAGATTACTCTATATTAAAATTTATACAAAATACAATGTTCGTTTTTGTTCACACATTTGATTAACAGGATATATTGTTGTAAGATAAACTTGCAATCACTGACATGCATTCTTAAAGAAAAAAACCAATAAATATAAATGAAGAAAAATAAACAATGGAAAATCAAATTACTTATATCACTCATCTCGTATTCTGTTCATATAAATAATATCTATAATGAACATTGTCAAGGTAAGTTTACTTTTGACTACAAGCTATATACTATAAAGTATATTATATCTCTGTAGTTTAATAATTGAACATTACTATGTATAAAACAGAAATATTCTATTAAAATATTTTAATCAATATTCTTTTTGAATACAAACGCGTTTGATGTCAAAAATGTAAATTATATCCATCCTGTTGGTTTAAATAATAAATGAACTATTAATAAGAACATTGTGTGTGAGCTGGCTTGCTAATAAAATTTGTTATAAACCAAATGGACCAGTCTGATTTGTTAATTTTTGATCGATGAGACTAGAGCAGTGGTAGTTGTTCTGCATGTAACAATTCGGTGGCTGCGGCGGAATCAGCACACATGACCAATGTAATGCCTGCTGGATAAGATGTCGGAATGCGAATGTGAGTCGCACCAGTAGTCGTGCTATTAGATTGTTGCCTTTGGCTCATTGATTCTCGTACCATATTTACAACTTGCCCTGTACCACGAATATATGTTTCAGTAAAATTATTGTAAGTAAAAAACCTACTTAAAAAATATGTGTACATATAATAAAATAAAATAAATTACATATAATATATATATATATAACATACCAAGGACATTAAGTTTTCGCCACTTTTGATCCATTGTCGCAAGCGGCGTTAAATCTGTATTTTCATTCCAATGCGCTAGAACGTCTGTTTTTCTTATTAATAAAATACTAGGGCTAACTAATTGATGCCATACGAGCTAAAAATTACAAAAATAAAGTTATGATTAAATTAGTTCCACAATAATTATATTCAGACATGATAATTTGTATTATTAATTTTGTATATCGATCATACAAACCTGTTCAGGCAAACATTCTAAAGGGTTTGTTAAGTATATACCAGCTTGTCCTACACCGAATATCATTTGATGATGCCATGCGTCCGGTATATCACAACCTTCTCCGCAATGTTGTAAATTCAATGTTGCGATTGGTGCCGCACCTAAAATGTGAAAATATAATATTTTACATACATTATACATTTCGATAATATATATTTTCACTTAACTATATCTGTATATAACACATTCTTTAATCTCTCACCTCTGGAAATCCAATAATGCAACCAATGGGATAATGAAACCTTTCTTTCGGGATAAAATGCGAAAAATTTTGTTACAACTGCACCATGCGTGGACAGAGTGATCCCTCGTGCTATGTCTTTATGAGTTGCTCCTGCCACTGAACGACTGACGAGATACCTTGGTAACGGTACACCCAATTCCCTCAATTTTGTATTTACACCTTTAACTAATACTTCCAGCGAAAATGATACATTTAAGGCCAACTAAAAATAGATGATTTATATATGAACAGATTCGATCAAACTACTACAAAAAAATTTGCAAGTTTCGTCATTGTTATATATTTATGATTATGATCCACTTGATATTACAATTTGAAGCATTTTTTGGTCAATTAGTAGAATTCTCTTTTTTCTAATTAATCAAATATTTCAAAGCATTTGCAATGTTAAGAGGACCGTATACTATCTACTTGAATATTACCAAAGCATTAATTGCGGATGTAGCACCACAGGCGGAGGTACCAATTTGCGTAACTTGCTTCATCGTGGCTTCTTGCTCGCTCCACAGCATTACTTTTTCAACTGGTGGCAACCCATCTAACCGTTCGTTACATAATTCATTTTCCTGTTCAAATGTAGTTTAAAATTTAATAAGACATAGTTTGTTCAACATGATTTAAATCTGTTTAATAGTAAATATATTAACCAGATTGGAATCACCACTTTGATTAAAGGCAGCATGCTTATTGAGCATTAGTTTCTTAGCCATTATTCGATGATAAAGCGTAGAAATGAGATTAACCTTCCTGGCATTTAAATTGGAATTGTCCGGGAGAGATGCTGTTGAGGACTCAACCCATAATTCGGAATCCGAATCTCTATTATCACCAGGCGATATAAGATCACCACTTGTGTTATGATAACCATATGATTCACGTACTGGACAACCTGTATTACGATAAAGTGTCGCGCTATCCCATCTTCCTGTAATTTCGTATAACGTGAAATACCTTGTATAATAAGATTAGAATTTGAATTGTTAGAATAGTCATAGTCGTGAAATTACCAGTTCCAGTGCTAGTACTAGGCATCCATGGAGCTGAATAAGTTGACTTTGCACTTTGTTCTACTATACATTGATTGCTTGTGCATTGTTGGAAAGTAGTATGATTAACATGCTGTGTAGTTTGTTTTGAAGTCTGCGGCATCGATATCAATCCCTGTCTAGACACGACTTTACCACTACTCAGATCATTTAGTACTGGATCTTGTTCTACATTATCTAATGCTATATTTTGTATATCTTCATTTATGGAGGCCAGATCACTATCTCCAGTATCCTTTAAGGGCAGAAGAAATATTATAATCTGACTCGATTTCATAATACAGCTAATATCTTACCTGCTCGCAAGAAGGTCCAGGATCAAAATCCATTTCCAAGTAATCCATCTCTGGACTCGACCTACCACTATGGTTCTGTCCCTCTGCTTCCTGATTTGCTGCATGGTCCTGATTCAATTCTTCTTGTCGATCTAAAGGAATCACATCGTTGTTTCCCTTATAAGTATAGAAACAATAGTCTTCTCCATCAGACATATCTCCTTCATTTCCAGAACTAGAATCCATTCGTTCTATCTGTTCTCTTTGTGAAGTCTAAAAAAGCAAGAAAACTATAAATTCTGTGAAAAGTATAAACATTCAATTAGAAGAATCAGTATGTGAAAACATACTCTCTGCAATCCACTGGGTCCAGGAACTTCTCTACTACCATTGATATTAGGTCTCAAAAAAGAGCAAGTTCCTTGACTCGTCGAACCTATACTACCACCTATATTATTTAATACACGTTTAGATCCATAGGACTTTGATGTCCAGCAACAGTCTGCTTCTGGACTAGAATCTGAACTGCAGGAAACCTTAGAAGGACATTTCTCTATGGCAGATGCATAATCCACATTATTCTTCATATCCATGTCATCGTTTGATTTAATCGTTGATAAATTAGGAGATATTACTGATACATTTAACGTAGATACACTTGAATGTAACATAGCACTGGTAGTTGCAGTAGAATTAAGAACTGCTGGCCCTAAGTTATGATTGTGGTGTATATTTGCTTGAGTGGAAGATAGATTCAAGTGCATCTGGGGTTTAGGCAGATTCAACGAGCTTGCATTCAAGACAGTCTTATGCTTCAATTGACAATTAACAGTATTGGTGTTTACAGTCTGAGACTTGATATTAGCGGTCGCGTTTGTAAATATGGAAGATATATTCGCATCTTGACAAACGTTCTGCTCCAAAAAATTGGCACTATCAGACACAGGGGTTTGTATGGAGTTTGTCCCATTGGAAAGCACAACGGAGGTTTTGGGTGGCAGCACGAGCTTAATGTTACTCTCGCCACTATTGTTATTCAGCCTCAACTGTTCCTCGGCTCCGTTTTCCAGCTGTACCTTGGATGTTCTAGCATCTTGGTCCACAGACTGATTGTCATTTTTCAGACCGACGTCCAATCTGACCTCCGCTTTACCCTGGCTGTTTCCATCGTTCCCTTCTGGATTCATATTATCGTCAACGACGAGACTGACAGCGATGGTATTACACGGCATCCTATAAACCAAAATACACACGTAACAAGGATATAACAAAGACACCAGAGGATACTTTTCCTCGACAAGAAAAAAATCAGATTCCCCATTTATTTGACGACTCTGTTATCGCGGAATCCCGCTTACCATGTGCTGCGACACGAGATCACCCGTTATAGATCGGGTAACGACACAGGGGATTCGATCTTCGAAAGATACGATTCTGTTGTGTGGTTAGGCGGGGATCACGTCGCTTCGTTCCGGCCGGAACTGCCGAACGCAGAACAGGACTTGCGCGATCCCGCGAAAGGGATACTGTGCCTCGCGCGCGTTTTGTCTCGCAAAAAAAAAAAGGGACACTCTTTTGTCAGGCGAAACTGCCGAAACACCTCACTAACATTCTAACAACGTCTCACAGTGGTACCGGAAGTCAGCTGATTGTTGGAAACGAGCATACACGCGAGACTCCATCGCATTGCACCGCATCGCTTATGCCGCCTTTCGTTTTTTACTCGTTATATCCCCTGTTTTTTTCTTTGTATTTGCTGACACAATTGCCTTAAAGACGATCCCTTGTCAAAATTATGACAAAACACGTATTCATATATTACATCATGCATATGCTGAACATATATTGTCGGTTTCAATCGCGTGACGCAGCGTGCATTTTCGGTACACTCGGTATCGTTAATGCTTCCGACATTCCGGTTCCGGTTTGAATTATTATCGAAAAAAAAATGTGGAAAACGCGAGTTTTTCGATGAGAGAGGGAACCAAGTCGAGTGTGAAAAATTGGCGTAGAATCTCTGATTGGCTGCTCCATATTGTTTCTCCTCAATTATCAGTGTAAAGATTTTTTGTGTTAAATTTATTTAACATATTACACGATCCATTTAAACTTTTGTATTAATTTAACATAAAGATCGTTCTTCTTATAGATAAATGTAAAATTTTGTTTACTATGCACTAATAAAAAAAAATAGCGAAAAAAGATTGCAATGCAATGAAAGCGAATATCGTTTTTAACAAATATGTTAAAAATTAACACAAATATATGTAAAAAAAACATTTAAAAAATGTAATACTGACATAATTTGTAAGCAAACTATGAAAGTATATTTTTTCAGTAAAACTAATATTTATGTTAAATTAACATGTATTTTATTCATTCATTTTAGAATTTAAAATACATGTTTTAAAATACATTTATATTTTTGTTGTTTTTTACTTATAATTTG